TATGAACACGTTAATGACTTGTAATGTCAAGCGAATATTTTAGAAATTGTTAAAAATATTTTACTATGGAGGCCTACAAGCCCTGTAGGCCGGCCATATAAGGCTATCTAATTTTTAAAAATAAGCCAGACTTGGCATATAAATAAAGCCTTTAGTAGGCCAATAGGCCAGATAGGCTGAATATTTTTTTACGTAGACTTAGGCCAGGAAGGCTAAAGCACGGCCCAGCCCATTTACACCCCTATCTTCGGTGCATCAGAAAAAACTTTTTCAATGTGGCGGATTTTTTTTTTTAAAGTGATGAAATTTTTTCCAAATGTGAAAAAAAATATACCGAATTGGATATATCTAATCCACCAAAGATTTGTCCCACCCCAACACCTAATTGCCATTGTCAAAATATAACTGGGGTTTATAGAAATATTAAGTGAATTTATTCTTAAGTTAGTATAAAAATATTTAATTTAATTATAACCTTGTGATATTATTGAAGTAATTTACATATAAAAATAGTTGTTTAAAAATTAGATTTTTTTATTAAATAACATAACAAATAAAAACACTTAATACTAAAAAAACAAATAAAAATACTTAATTGAAAAATAATATATTTTTAAAATTTATTTATCTCACGGAATAGAAAAATCATCTACCTCTATCACAATATGTTCTACCACCACCCAAAAAATATATTTTTATTTATAATCATATGATAAATATAAAATTAATTAAAATATTTACATATAGGATATTATAATAAAAAGTGTATTAATTTCCCACAAAAAAGTGTATTAATTTATCCCGTTCTTGTGTGTATCAAACAATACGTACCACAAAATTGTATATGCTGTCCTTCAATTAACAAAAAGAAAATTATGCCGTCTTACAAAATTTATTTTGTACCTCAACTAATTGTGATGGCCTCTATTCCTTATAGGGATGTTTAAAATATCCCAAAGAACCAAACCGATCCATAATTAAACTGCTCTACATTTTAAAAATTGGTTATTTTTAAAAATTGGTTTCATATGAAACTGCATTTTATTTTATAAACTGGTTGTTTACCAAACCATAAAAATAATTGGTTATCCATGGTTATCTGTAACCAAACTATTTTAGAATCAAAGAACAAATAAGTATTACATTTTATCCTTAGCATTAAAATGTGAAAATTACATAAATATGAATCATTTTTAAATGTGACATTATTAGAAAAGTCTCAAATACTATCAGAATTTATCGAAAAAAAATATTTCGTCGAAAATTTTGACCAAAATCATATTACGTATAAAATAGAGACGAATTTTTTTTCGTCGAAACTAGAGACAGAACAAGATTTTGTCATAATTACTGACATAAATTTTTAAGGGACAAAATATTTCAGTCAAAATTCTTGATAAAATCTAAATTCCGTCGAAACTTTCGACAGAAACAATTCTGTCAAACTTTTCAACGAAAAATAATTCTGTAAAAAAATTTGATGAAACACATTTCCATAAAAAAAAATTGACAGAAAATAATTTTGTCAAGCTTTTTTACAAAAAATATTTCTGTCCAAATTTTCGACAAAAAATATTTTCAGCAAAATTTTCAACAAAACACATTTAGAGCGAAAATTTTGACTAAAAACATTTACGTAAAAAATTTTGACGGAAAATAATTCTATAAAAAATTCCTACGAAATTTTTTTTTGTTAAAGTTCTTTACGAAATCTAAATTCACTCCAATCATTTCCCTCAAATTTTTTGATGAAAAATATTTTTATAAAACATTTTGACGAAAAAAATTTTTGTCAAAATTTTTATCGAAATATTGTTCGTCAAAAATTTTTACGAAAATTTTTCATAGAAATGTGTTCTGTTAAAAATTTTGATGGAAATATTTTTTATCACAAAACTTGACGGAAATATTTTTCGTCGAAATTTTTCGATGAAAATGTGTTTTGTTAAAAATTTTGACGAAAATTTTTGTCAGAAGTTTAACGAAAATGTTTTCGTCGAAAACTTTCGATGAAATTTGAATTCTGTAAAAAAATGTGATGAAAATTTTTTTTGTCAAAAATTTTCGAAGCAAATTTGTTTTGTGAAAAATTTTGATAGAAATTTTTTTCGTCAAAAATTTCGATGAATATTTTTTTTCGTGAAATATTTTGAGGGAAATGTTTTGAAGAAATTTATATTTTGTAAAAAATTCGACAAAAAAAATTTTCCGTCAAATTTTTTTGCAGATATGTTTTTAGTCACAAATTTTGTTTGAAATATTTTTCGTCAAAATTTTTTGCAGAAAATTTTGATGGAAATATTTTCCGAAAAAATAACGTTAAACAATTTCTATAAGAATCATTTTGTCTTGAGAGTTCCAAAACAATGAAGATTCTTGCAAGAAATAGTTGGTCAACTATCTATAACCGAGAGAAATAAACGACTACTTATAAAAATAGCACAATCCATGAAAAATCGATTTTAAATTTGTTAAAAAACTGATTTCGAACTTGATAACCGGTGTATGGTTCATAACCGGTTTTGAATTAAAACCGGTTTTGATTGAAAACCGGTTTTAATTCAAAACCGGTTATGAACCATAAACGGTTTTGGAACCAGTTTTAAACCGGTTTGGACAAATTAAAAATCGGTTTTTTTTTAAAAAAAGTGGTTCGGTTTAAAATCCAAACCGTTTAAAACTGATTCGGTTCGATTTTTGACAATAATCGAACCGAACCGCTCCATGCACACCCTAAAGAGAAAGATGAGTACGTATAACTTTAAAAAATAAGAAGGATAAATTAAGAATGTATTTTCAATATAATTTCAATGCAGTTTTTTTTTTTAAGATTGTAAGGATAATAATAAAATGAAGTATATATTGCAGAAAACAAATCCTGTACTAGCTAGAATATGAGATAATATAGCTAATACAAAAAAGAATGAAAATTTTAATAGAAGGGTACAATTCTTCTTGTTTTGACTTTTAAACCTAAACAATCCCATTATCTTATTTATTTTCTCTCTTTAGATAATCAGGGGGAAATAAATTGTGAAGTCCAAAATAAAAAAAATGAAAAAATTATGCGCAAGTGTATTTGCAACTTAAGGGGGTGTTTGTTTCAGGATTTTGTTAAATAATCCTGGGGAAGTGATGCCTGCATTATCATTAATCCATGTTTGGTTCACTGATTTTATGATTTTTACCCAGCTTTCCTTGTTCCCTATCTATCTTGAATTGCACGTTTTTTTGTCCAAAAATCACTGTTACATTTTCCTTCCTGGAAGATGCTATTATTTCTAAAAACCGGATAAGTTGCAAAAGTGGAAAAAGTTTTATAAATCGGTGACTGTAAAGTTGGCAAAAGTTGCAAAGGTGATATTATTTTTAAAAGGATAGTTTCGTAATTTGAATTAGTTTCCCATCAATATTTTCTATTCAACCAAGCACACTTTAATTTAAGGAACTTCACATAATTTTCCTGGTAAAATTTTACTTAACCAAACAATTTTTTTTACATTTTCCTACCAAACTCACTTTTCAACCATTTCTTTATCAATTATATTTCCCTAGTATTCAAAAAATTTCTCGTAAACCAAATGTCCCCTGAGGATAAATATGACTAAGCCATTATGTTTGGTATAGTGGTAAAGAGTTTGAGTAGATTGTATTACGTCGTATGTTTAATTCCTACTTGTATAAAAGAAACAAAGTATAAATATGACTAGGGTTTAACCGGCAGATTGATACATTTTGATAGCACTAACTTTTAGTGCTTTAATTAAAGCTCTAAAGAGTTGGAACCTACCCACCTGAACATAATAAAATCATGACCAAATTACACTGTTGAAACGCAAGATTTCATTCTAAACTACAATTTTGTAAACAAGAATGACAAAGGGACAAGACAAGTTTAGACATGAGTTGTTGAGCAAAGATACTAAACATTCTACCACAAACTCGTTTAGGATCTACAAATTATGACACAAGTGCAGAAGAAAGTCACAGCCTCACAGCCAAATAATTATGCTTAGTTAAGTTTAACGAGCTATAACTGAAAAAACATTCAAGAACACAAAGGAGCATAACAACTTGAGTCAGCACTATAAGATTAAAACATCATGATGGTACTTTATAATTCATGAACTTAAAATATGACCAACCTGCGTACATTAATGTATCAACCATGATATCGCACAATAATTGGGGGGGGGGGGGGGCAGAAAATTTCGTAAAAGAGAATGAGGAAAACAAAATTCACATTGAGCAGAGCAACACGGTAATAAATCAATAAGTTGAAAATCGACAACACACAACTCGAAAACAGAAAAGAAAAAGAGAGAGAATAGACATACTGACACAGCGATTTATCCTAGTTCACCCAATTTAGGCTACGTCGAGTGGAACTCCAGTTGACTTTCTGCTGATCCCGATAATTAAAGTTCTCATCAACATGCGAAGTATGAGTCATACCCAATAATAACGTTATACAAAAAAAAAAAAAAAAAAACAATCAATACGTAATCAAATTTGAAAAACTCTATCAAGGAAGACAAACTTATATTACACTGTCTTTCACCACGGGCAGTATAATGATTCACGACATCAAGCATTCTATATTCTATATAGGCTTTGGAAAACGAGAATGTTGCTGTCTGCAAAATCACATGTCACATGCTCTGCGCAAGCACAAATAAATCATTATTCATATATCTACCAAAAAAAAAAAATCATTATTCATATTGTAAAATAATTAAGTCCCTTTATTCACTACCATTATTACATCCCAACGGCTCTCTTGGATCATTCATAAATCATAATAATTTCTTTTACCAAATTGACTCTTCCCCCCAACGGTCCAATTTTCACATGAACAAAACAAAACGTAACACATATAGTCCCTCATAAAATCATCATAATTAACATCTCATAAATCACATAGCTTATATTATGCTATGTATGTATACCATTGCCATTCTCTTTTTCATTTAGCTAATTGACTCAACATATAAGTTGCAATGAACAATGCCACTGTTGATGCTGATGCTAAGGTTCAGTGTATAACCAAGAAATCTTCTGATGAACTGCTCAGGAAGTTTGCTGAATTGGGTTCTGATGATAGTGGCAATGCCCTGAGGAGGAAGAAGAAGAAAAAGAGGGAAGATGGTCAAGGTGGTGGCACCACCTTAGTGGAAATGTGGTCCCTTCTTCCGCCGCCGGCAACTCGGAGGACGGCGGTGCTCCGGCGACTCGGGATTGGGAGGGCCCACCTGAGGGCAAGGGATATCAGAAACAAGTCCCTTTTGGGAATCATTGGAAAGGTGAGGCTCATTGAATTGGCATTCTTCATGTTTCACTTCCACTAACATAGAATGACCTTTTTTTTGTGGGTTTTTTTTAGTGTCATTTATTCATAGTTATTGTTCTTCTTCTTTTCTTGGGGTATTCCAATTTTTCTTCTAGTTTGTGTCTCTGCGACAAGGAAAGGAAATTTTTATTTGATTAAGATTGATCTTAGAGATTTGTGGGAAGGTTTTGAACGATCCTACTTGAGTTTGTTGTCTTTGTCCTAAAATTTAAGATTGATATAACATTAGAAACATTAGATAGGATTGTTCACTCAATTCATTGGAATCTGTTTGTTATCTAGAATTGTTACATTTGAATCACTAAGATTAACATGAGATTTTACTTAATAATAACGGGTTTATTAAAATTAAGTATCAAAGAATATATAGTTGTTATTTTTAAAAATGTTTTTTATCAATTTAATTATTTGATATTACAATGAAAAAAATTATATACATAGGCTTAAATTGTTTAACCCTTATTTTGGGAAATTTTTTAAATATTACTGGTGTACTGAGTAGGGTGCATCTTTTTACTAAAACAGGAATTTTTTTTTTTTTCATTTTAATCCCTTATTTTTTACTCTTTTTTTTTATATCCTAATTATTTTCTAATTTAAGAAAGGGAGTATCAACACGGTGGTACCCAAAGTTTGCTCCTTATTTTGACTATGAATATATAAAGCCACTTGCTACTAATTGAAACTGAAATGTGTATGTTTATGTCGTGAGCGATCCCTTATCAGTCTAGTTTGAATGATAATTAACAATAATAATTGCATTGAACATGAATAATTTTTTTTTTTTTTTTTTGGTGAAAACATGAATAATTAACTAATGAACTTAATCGAAGAGATAGAATTAATAGGAACTAAATTTTTTTTTGTATATTACCAAAAATATAATTTACAAAATTAAATTATCTCTATCAAAGTATCAATAAAAGATTTTTGAAATGTCTCAATCGTGAAGCAGATTGAAGTAACATAAACGAATGAAGTTGTGAGAAAGGCAAAACGCAACGTGCCACTTGTTTTTATCAATAAAAGAAGAAAAGCGTTGATCTGCCCTTCAATCAATACCTTGGCATAATTTTTTTTTCTTCATGTCTCATTTTCATATAACACATTTGCATAACTTGTCTTTTTCATTATATCTTGCAGACATGGCGTGGAACTGTAGAAGGGGCTTCCAGAGTTTTCATGGAGAGGCATTATCATCGCCATAAGCGTTTGATCAGTGATATTGTTTAGATTCAGAGCGTGCTTAGTACTTGAGAGATTTAAAAGATCTCTAACTAACAATATGCTAATCCTTTATCAGAGTGAGTAAAATAGAGCTCATCACCCAATATATATTATTTCCCTATCAAGTTCCCGTCAATTGATGCCATTATTTCATCTTCGATTAATAAACTTCATCGGTTCATTCGTTTATTGATTTGCATAATCTAAGTGCTCTCTCCCTCTCTCACTCATGTTAACCAAAAAAATTTAATTTTTTAAGGGCACTATGAGAATTTATATTATGGTCTAAACAAGGTTCTCTCCTACAACTAAACATGTAACGCCCCGTGTATACCCGGAATATTAACATTACATCGTATTAAGCGGTGCTTAATTAAAAATGCGGAATATTCTTTTTCTTTTCAATTATGACGTCATTATCAATTACCAACTTGATTACTTAATCAATTTCATAAAATAACGCCTGTATGTAAATTGCAATAAGACATATACTGAAATACCTCAATGTATAGATAAAGTGTGTATCTAAATCACGGCATTACATCAAGTAATCCGGACAATATCCTGATACATTATTACAACTCCAAAAGACTCAAGACATAATCAAGACATAATAGTACTATGTGTCATGGACAATCCCCATGCTCACCAAATGGACATAGTAAACAACAATCTCAACATAAAACTCCAAAATCATACTGAAGCTATAAGCATATAAACAGCATGCAAATCCAGCATCCAATCATGGCAGCATAATATAACAACAATCTAACTCAGCTCTGGCCTCCTGCCGCCTGAGGTCTCAACATTACCTGATCCTGAAATAAGCATTCCCCAAACGTGAGGTGAGATCTCTAAACTAGAAATCTCAGTAAGACAAGGGGTCCTCAAGGATCTTCCACCCCAAGCTCACTTACATGAGCAATATAAGTTCAAAAAGCATTTATATCATTATCAGTTCCAAAACTATGTAGTGCAACAGATATCTATGGCATGTGTGTAATCACTATCTACTGGCCAGAGAAATGTAGGAATACGTCTATTCCCTACATGTAGTACAAGGAACACCGCTTGCACCTCACCCACAGCCTCACCCTATTGTATGTTCTACATACTCAGGCTTACCGTATAGGTGGAACACCTCCATGCATATCAACAAGGCACTAACATACAATAGCTCAACAGCATTTCCAAAACATCAAAAGCATGTAACACAACATGCATATACCATATCCCCATGGGACATGGTGGAACCACAACATGGCTAAACCGAGGACACGAAAGCTTACCTCTAAGCTAGCTATCCAAGCCAAGAGTCCACACAAGCTCAAAGTCCAAACACAGCAGAATCACAATCTGTTTTAGACCAACAATTATATCAATATTCCCATTCTAATATTTACAATGCTAAACTAGACATCTTGAGATTTCCAACGATATACTTTATGTCTCAATCGGAGTTGTATAACTCCAGTTATGATTTACGCAAGGTGACTGCTGCAAACGGAATTTCCAGCAACCAAAATGCGACTTAAAATAGACACTGCGATCAAATCACTGATCCAATGGCTACTAAATTTTACAGAGTTGTAACCCTATGTGTTAGCTTCACATAGGTCCAAACCTCACTCAATTTAGAGCTCTGTAGCTCGAGATATCTCAATTTTACTAAACTAGGTCGTTGCTGACACATTTGCACAAAACTGGTTTCTGGTCATTTTCACAGGTGGTAATCGATTACCAAGTACTGGTAATCGATTACTGCACATGGTAATCGATTACCACAAGCAAAGTAATCGATTACCACACATGGTAACTGATTACCAATCAAAAGTAACAAATTACCACGCGGGCAGAACAGCATTATGCAGATTTTTTCTGCATAATCCGAAGCCAAATTGCCACCCATGACCCAAGGTCCGGTCTTGACCCAAAACAGAAGTTCAATACCACATTTTAGACTTAGATTAACAAACTTAAGCTTGAATGATTAAAGTTAACTCATTTAATAACATAAACCAGCCATTTTCATGAAAATTCAAAGGAAAGTTCAAGGTATACTAATGGAGGTTCAAACTCAGCCACAAGGAAGGCTCTTGGAGCTCTCCAACAAGGTTCAAAGATTGTGACTTGAACACAAAACGAAAATGCCAACAAAGCTTGGCTCTTTCTTCACAAAGGAAGCTCCTTGGAGCTCAAAATGCCATTACAATGGCTCAACAACCCCAACCTCCAAAGTCAGCACCAAAAACACCCCAACACAACCCACCAACTCATAATCTAAGCCTCTCACACAACCCCAACACAACCACAAGGTGTTTACAAGGAAGAATCAAGAGAAAAGATGATCATTTGGTGGTTTCTCATGAAGAAATGGTGAAGACAAGCCAAAGAAGCACCAAGTCAGCAATGGAATAGTGTAAACTGATCAGCCCCCAAAGGTGTTCACGTAGGAATGAGGTTCTAGGGTTTTGTGCCCACTTAATGAGTGTATTTATAGCCAAAACCCACTTAAACTTACTGTATTAACTTTAATTGCTACGCTTAGCATTTTAATCCCAAACTTTGGATTCTGAAACTACATAATTTTCTAAGAATTATCATATTTTTCTTATAATTTTCTAAGCAACTTTCCGGTACGCGCTTTTCCAAGTCAGTACCGGTTTCTAGCACCAGTTCTCATTATTTGGACTTGAAACTCGTTTTACAAGTCCTACATGTTATTCTAGTAATTATCATGTACTTACTTTAATTTTCCAGGATACTTTTTCGGTACGCATTTATACCGACTAGCAGAACCGGTATCTGCACTTTTCTTCCGAAAAGCGACTTTCAGCATTCTTAATCACTTATCATAATTATTAAGGCCTCTTAATAATTATTAGGGTCAATTATGGAATCATTTCCTATTTTCACATAATTAATTAATTAAATACCTTAATTAACGGTGCAGGTTCTTACATTCACCCCACCTTTTTAGGATTTTGACCTCAAAATCAGAAACATACTTGGTCGAAACTCGGGGTACTGCCGGAGAAGCTCGTCCTCACGCTCCCAAGTACACTCCTCAGGAGTCCTTTCGGTCCACTGCACCTTGACCATCGGAATGATCTTGCTCCTCAGCTGCTTCTCGCCACGATCGAGAATTCTGAGTGGTCCGACGGGAGTCTTTAGGTTCTCCCGAACCTCCACATCATCTGGTTGCACCACGTGCGACGGATCTGCTATGTACTTCCGAAGCTGAGACACATGAAACACGTCGTGGATGTTAGCCAGGTTCGGAGGCAAGGCAAGCCGGTAGGCAACAGGTCCTACTCTACCAAGAATCTGGTATGGCCCAATATATCGCGGGCTCAGCTTCCTCTCTCCGAGTGCCCGACCTACACCGGTGACAGGTGAAAGTCTCACAAACACGTGCTCACCCTCACTGAACTCCAGCGGACGATGCTTAACATCATAGTAGCTCTTCTGGCGATTTTGTGCCTGCTTCAACTTTTCACGGATCATCTGGATCTGCAAGGTGGTATCTTGGACAAAATCCAAGCCAAAAAGCTCCTTATCCCCAACCTCAGACCAACAAGCAGGAGTCCGACACCTCCTACCATACAGTGCTTCGTAGGGCGCCATGCCCAGGCTAGCATGAAAGTTGTTGTTGTAAGAAAACTCAACCAACGGAAGGTACCTATCCCATGCCCAGCCTTGCTCCAACGTGCAAGCTCGCAACATGTCATCTAAGGTCTGGATGGTCCTCTCAGTCTGTCCATCAGTCTGAGGGTGATAGGCGGTACTCAATCTCAACTGCTGCGTACCAAAAGCCTCCTGCAGCGCCTCCCAGAACCGAGAAGTGAACTTCGGGTCCCTATCACTAATGATACTCTCGGGCACCCCGTGAAGCCTCACAATCTCGCGGACATAAAGCTTGGCCAACTGCTTTGTAGTGAAGCTCACCTTCACTGGAAGAAAATGGGCAGACTTCGTCAGTCTGTCCACAATGACCCAAATAGAGTCACAACCCGCCTGAGTCTTCGGCAATCCCACCACGAAGTCCATGGAAATACCTTCCCACTTCCACTGTGGTACTTCAAGAGGTTGAAGTTCACCAGACGGTCTCTGATGCTCAATCTTCACCTTCTGGCAAACCAAACACTTAGACACAAAGATAGCAACATCTTTCTTCATGCCCGGCCACCAGAAGTTCTTCTTCAAGTCTTGATACATCTTAGTAGCACCAGGGTGGATAGAAAACTGACCCTTATGGCCTTCTGCCATAATCTCCTCTGTCAACGGGCCTCGAGGAACTACAATCCTCTGCTGAAACAAAAGCACTTCATCCTCATTCCAAGACACACCGTCTTGGTTCTTCACATAATCTAGACACTCTCTCTGAACTTGTGCCTCTTTAATCTTCTCCATGAGCTCATTCTTGACTCTCACAGTCTCTATCTCGAGAAGTGCACCCCCAACAAAGAGGTCACAGACAAAACTCAAAGTTTCACAATGACATCAAAAACGTCATTCAATTCTCTGGGATCACCAGTCACTCTCTCAATAGAGGTGACCTAACCCCACAACTCAAGAATCCACACAAAACTCAAGTGAGTTTGGTCCTATTCCATGACTCTAACATCGACTAATCCCACAATTTGATAAATCATTATTTTCAAAATAACTTCATATTCATGTTTATTGTACGAAATCAAAATCATACTCATCTCAACCAACACATGTTATTTAGCATATTCATTCACATAATAACGCACCTTAGTTCACGTACACCTGCAAAATTTTCAATCTTAGTAACATAATAATTCGAATACTAAATGCAACAGTATACCTCAATCTCCATGGCCTCTGCAAAATCGAAACTCAATTAAAGGTGAAATGACATTGATACATTACAACAATCTATCGTACTCATCTCATGCTTGACACTAACCATGATGTTAATATGCGAACTACTTATGAAGCATATCAATAATCAACATAAGATCCTAGAGTCATGGAGA